ATATATATATATATACAGCCAAAATTATGAGGGCGAAAGCCATACAAACTTTTTCTTTAGATATAAACACCATTTAACATCTAAGAAAGAAGTAAGTGTTTAATTAAGTTATACTTCTGCTTCCCGTAATTTCCATCCTCTGCTGTTGCTGCCAGAACAGCCGTTTTACAGACAAGTAGCTTGAGCAAAGACAAGACAACCAGGAAAGGTTGTGCTTTTTGATCTATGTAACTTTTTCATCTTTAAATTGTGCTCTTCCAAGTTCTTTCTGGCGTGTAAGAGGTGTTACTTTTGGTACATGCTACAACTCTTTAAAGACTGAGGCCAGATAGCAGTGTATTTTATCAAACTGATCACAACACATGTACAGGGCTTAAGAAACAGTTACAAGAAACAAGAGACAGCCTCTGCAGTGGACCCTGAAACAGGGAGATACCTCAGACCAAAAACCCACAGCAAACAGGGAAACATATTGTTCACGTACTTTATTATATTTTGCTGAAGAAAAATAATAGGGGAGTGTGGGGGGAAACTCACCTTTGTTGCAAGAGCAATACAGCTAACACGCAAGTCTACCCTGGGCTGGAGAAAACAGGTTAGCTACCTTGCATGGCATACACTACTGGAAGCTAGGAGATGTTGAAGGACACAGACTTAAAACCTCTCAATCCGCTTCAGAGCAGAACACTTCCGTACTGACGGATGCTCAGAGATCCATTCTGCATATGCTGTATAAGCACCTATGCACAGCTACAGCACACACAAGTGATGCTACTAAACACTGTATACACACACAGTTGACCTGTAAGTTACAGATACCTTTTTTCTTTCGTATTTTCAACTGCACTTTGACAAAAAGCAGTGCTTTGTGACCTTTCAGCAAAAAAAAAAACCCAAAACTTTCTTTGCAATTATACACTGCATTCAGATACTGCACAAAGCCATTTAAATCCTGCAGTTTCTTCAATTATACAGAAAACTGCAAATCACAGGATCGCAGAATCAACTAGGTAGGAAGAGACCCTGAAGATCATCACATCAAGTCTAACCATTACCCCAACACTGCCATGTCCACCACTAACCCATGTCACTGAGGGCCTCATCTACCCGGGTTTTGAACACCAGGGACGGTGACTCCACCACTTCCCTGGGCAGCCTGTTCCAACGCCTGGGCACCCTCTCGGTGAAGATATTTTTCCTAATATCCAACCTAAACCTCCCCTGGCGCAGCTTGAGGCCGTTACCTCTTGTTCCTATCGCATTTGTTACTTGGGAGAAGAGACTGACCCCCACCTCTGCAATATGGTTGCCCCTAGGCCTCCTCTTCTCCAGACTAAACAACCCCAGTTCCCTCGGAATCCTTCACTCATGGGTCTCAAGAGCATTTTGATAAAGTATGTCTCCAATGCACGTCAACACACAGTTTTATCACGGTGAACTGGTCCCAACCTCTACTCCACTGTGTACAGGACACATTACACAGTGTCCCAGCTCTCAGATAAGTGAAGGTTGTATTTATTCATCAACAGATGCATGTGCAGGCAGGTCAGACAGACAATGATTAGGGAAGATATCTTCCAAGGAACTTGGCTACCATCTACGATTAACGTGGTGACCAACTGCATCTCACAGGACATGCCTTCCAGCCCTTCCACCAGCTTTGCTGCCCTCATCTGGTGCATTCAAGGACTTTCACATCCTTCCTGAACTGTGGGCCCAGAGCTGCAACACACTGCTCAAGGTGAGGCTGTGCAACATTGAATACAGCAGGATAATCGCCTCCTTTGACTGGCTGGTTCTGCTGTGTGTGATGCACCCCAGGGTGCAGTTTGCCCTCTTGGCTGCCAGGGCACACCACTGACTGAGCTTGTTTTGGCCAGCATCCCCAAATCCCTTTCTGCAGGGCTGCCCTTCAGCCACTTCTCTCCCAGTCTATACTTGTGTCCTATGTTGCTTCATCCTAGGTGCAGAATCCAGCATCTGGACTTGTTAAATTTCACCCCATTAATTACTGACCAATGAAGAAAAAGCAAAGAAGAAAAAGCACAAAACCCCAAAACAGCAAGAATGAGAGAGAAGTTAGGCCATTTATGCCAATAAAATCCAAAAGTCTCTTACTCTCTGTATCGGTTGACAAGCAATGCTTATTTACTTAACCAGTGAGAGCAGTAACTTGATGCTTTCATTCAGTCTGTGTACTCAAACTGCACTTCAAGAGAAGCAACAGCTGGCATCAACACGTAACTTACTTACACAGCCTTTTTCCTGCAGACTTTCAGAGCACCATGACGATATAAATCAGTCTCCAAGATCCTTAAATTAGTCAGAAGTTATTTTCTCTATTTGGAAAAGCTAACATACTTCTGGCAGGTCACGGTGCCATGCCCTTCCCAGGCTGGAAGGAAGGAAATTCTACCCCACTGATGGCTGATTTCCTGTCTGCTGAAGCACCACGCGGACTTTATTGTGAAGACTATAATGAACCCATACTTCAACTCAAGTTGCAAATTCAGAGTCATGTTTGAGGAAAACAAACAAATGGAATGAATGCACACCACTCATTAACAGCTCCTGCTGGGAGGCTAGCCATGGTGGCACGCACATACTTTGGGGAAATTACTGATGAGAGGAAGCCTAATCTCCGCCTTGTTGAGGCCATGACATTCTCATGTGACTTCTCTGCATGCCCAGGAGAATAGTTTCAGAACTCTCTGGTCTCAGAAATAATCAGCTAACACTTTACTAAACAATGGTAGAAAAATTCTTCCATTTACTTCATATAAATGAAAAGACTAGTATCTTTTCACTATTACGTAGACAAGTATGTAGCATCCTCTGGTTTCTCTCAGATTGTAGATGTTATTTTATTTCTATCATACTGATAAAATACTATATTATTAATACGTAATCTTGGCAAAACAGCTGGGCCCCAAGGGTGATAATCAGTGATACAAAATGTAGTTGCAGACCAGTAATGAGCAGAGTACTCCAGGGGTCAATACAACGTCCAGTTCTGTTTAACATCACAGAGTCACAGAATCATTAGGGTTGTAAGGGACCTCTGGATATCATCCAGTCCAACTGCCCTGCCAAGCAGGGCCACCTACAGCAGGTTACACAGGAACATGTCCAGGTGGGTTTTGAATGTCTCCAGAGAAGTGTGGTTTTGAAGTTCTCCAGAGAAGGAGCCTCCACAACCCCCCTGGGCAGCCTGTTCCAGAGCTCTGCCACCCTGAACATAAAGAAGTTCTTCCTCATGTTGAGGTGAAATGTCTTGTGTTTTAGTTTATGGCCATTGCTCCTCATCCTGTCACTAGGCACTACTGAAAAGACTCTGGCACCATCCTCCTGGCACTCACCTATGAAATACTTATATGCACTAATGAGATGCCCTTGATGATCTTAAAGATCATCAAGCTAGTTGATTCTATGGTTCTATTAATGAGATCCCCTCTCAGTCTTCTCTTCTCTAAACAGGCCCAGCTCATACGATCTCTTCTCAGGAGAGATGCTCCAGCCTCCTGATCATCCTTGTGGCTCTCCATGGACCTTCTCCAGTAGCTCTTTGTCTTTCTTGTACTAAGCCCAGAACTGTACACAATACTGCAGATGTGGCTTCATCAGGTAGAGGGAGAGGATCGCCTCCCCAGGATACTATTGGCCTTCCTGGCCACAAGGGTGCACTGCCGGCTCACAGTCAGCTTGTCATCCACCAATACTCCATCTGTCTTAATGATGAGGAGAAGTCTAACCTCAGCAAGTTTGCTGCTGCTGCTGACACAATACTGGGAGTGGCTGATACACTGGACAATCATGCTGCCACCCAACGGGACCTTGACAGGCTGGAGAAATGGGCCAACAGGAACTTCAGGAAGTTCAACAAGAAGAACTGCAAGGTCTTGCACCTGGGGAGGAACAAGTCCGTGCACCACTGTATGCTGGGGTCTCCTCACCTGGAAAGCAGCTTGGCAGAAAAGGACCAGGGGGCTCTGACGAACACCAAGTTGAACATGAGCCAGCAGTGTGCCCTTGCAGCAAATGAGGCAAATGGGATCCTGTGCTGTTCAGACAAAGTATTGCCAGCAGGTTGAAGGAGGTGATCCTTTCCCTCGCCTCAGCACTCGTGAGGGCACACCTGGAGTCCTGTGCCCAGTTCCGAGATCCTCAGTACAAGAGAAACATGGACATACTGGAAAGAGAGTTCCACAAGGTCCATGAAAATGAAAGAAGTGGAGCACCTCTCTTATGAGGAAAGGTTGAGAGAGCTAGGACAGTTCAGCTGGGAAGAAAGAAGGTTCAAGGGGATTTTAGTACAGAGGATGAGGTACAATGAGCACAGACTGAAACACAGGAGGTTCCCTCTGAGCATCAGGAAATGCTTTTTGTTGTGAGGGTAACCGAGCACTGGCACAGGCTGCCCAGGAAGTTTGTAGAACCTCCATCTCTGTAGATACCCAAAAGCCATCTGGACATGGTCCTGAACAACTGGCCGTACGTGGCCTTGCTTGAGGAGGGGAGCTGGTCCAGACAACCTCTAGAGGCCCTTTCCAATCTCAGCTGTGCTATGATGTATATTATATGTGATACGCTATCATATCAGTTTCAGTATTTTCAATTAGAGTACTTCATTAACTCCTTCTGCACATTCCCAGAGAACACTTGGCAACTGTGGGACAGGGGAATAGTCTTCACTCCTACTTTTGATCAGCACTCAGCTGCAAACACCGCAGCATGTAAGTTCAGAGGGGAATGGTCTACATTTAGCTTTCTATTCCTATTTCTATTCTGGTGTTTTCCAATATAGCACTAAGTTAGTCCCCAGGGATGAATCTCCATGAGAACTCACTACTAGCATTACTGCTTCCCAGCGATAGCATTAATGATGTTTTTCTTGATATTGCACGAAACAGGTCAGCCTGGTGATGCCACCAGGAAGTATTTACTTGCAGTACAACCTACTGGCAGAAACAATGCAGCTGAATTTAGTGCTGAAGAAAACCAAACTCTGCTTCCCTCTCTCCTGTACGTTTTCAAAGTTCCTACTCATGCAGAGGATTCCACATAGAAGATTTTACCTTGCTTACGTGTTCTGGTGCTTGATCTGGCTGACTGCTGAACTCACCACCTATCTGGAAGTCACTGACGCAGGAAATAGAGTCTCTCAACTCGGTGAGCTTCTGGCTGCCCAGTACAAGGACTGTCTGATAGGGTTTGTAGTCTTTATGCTATGGAGAAAACAGCATAAAAGCTTCAAATAAAAATCACTTGTCAGCATTAGTACTGCTCGTCAGCTGCCAGCTTGAGAATCGTTTAGGTTGGAAAAGACCTTTAAGATCATCCACCACTAAATCATATCAGCATATGGCACATTGCCTCTGTGTACAAGATTTTAAATAGCATTTTGCCTCAGCCTCTCCTAAGGCTGCCATTTACTAGTTGTATTTAGTCACACTCCCCACCAGAAAGTGCAGGAAAGATAGGAAGTTTGAGTGTACTTATCCCAGATCCAGAAAGAGTACTTCAGGATTTGTGTATTTAGTTTCGGATTTTGAGCTTTCCGTGAAATCAATTAACTGCTAAGTAATTACTGTAAAAATTTCCTTTGGTAAACCACCAACAATGAAAGCCATATTCTGGAAAAACCTTAAAAAGTTACCACAGTTGAAAGGTTTGCCACACTCCCTGAGTGGACTCACTAATTTTAACAGCTTAGGAAAGCAAGATATTACCTGAGTAGGGAAGAAACATCACAATACAAACTAGAGAATTTAGTACCAACCTTCTGAAATATGACAGGGTAGAATATGTTCAGCGTTAAAAGTAGCTCTCCCTCCTCAACTAGATCTGTTGGACTGTCTGGCCTCTTTCCGCTTGCATGTGATTCCTGGAAAATAAAGATATTGATGTATGTTATATATATGTTAAGATATATATAATATTGGCAACCACTTAAATATCGTAGCCCCTGGATAAAAGTCTGAGAAACACTGTTCTAACTGTCACTCATTTTTGACTGTGTAACCTTCTGAATTGGTAACAGCCTACTTCCCCCAAGATGGAAAGGTGAGAAGCTGCTGTAATTACTGACTTCAAGCATCTCCCCTCATTCCTCAGCTCTGTAAAAGCTAAGGTGCTTTCAGCAATTACGAGATAGCTGGCTATTCCTTGTGCACTGAGAGGCCCTGCATAGAGGAATTAAAGCTTGCTACCACTCTGCCCTTCTGGAATCCAGCTGCTACCAACTTCCATCATCTAACGCTTTTAAAATGTTGTTTGAATGCAATCACATGTAAACGGAGATTACAACCCTCACCTTGAGAAAGACTGGCCTAGAAAACAAACACAGGATGAAGTATATGAAAATAAAACTTAGTGCAACATTTGCTGTTATTAGAGAAACTTGACACTGCTGGAGGTCTCAATTTCTCCAAAATCCAGAACTGCCCTTGCCATAATACTGTTCTAGAAAAGAAGCAAAAGCATTTCCACGTTTCCCATCCTACTTTATGTTTAAGACAGAGCCCAGCTGTGAGAATAAGGAAGGGCACTCTTCAGTGGCAGTCAGTTTCGTCCTTTTCAACAAATCAAGAGAGAATACTGACTGCATAAACACTTCCCACCAGCACTTCAGATTCAATAACAAGAGCATCTGCTGATACAAGACTTCAGTTCCGAGATCCTTGCATCTCCCTTCTTCATGTGACACATTCCAAACTCATGTTTCTTATTGCTCTGTTCCTGTTCTAGGACACCATGGTCCCAACCAGCTGTGACACAGAAACCCATTACCACAGCTTAAAGGATGCAGTAACTGATCACATACACATTCTTCAGAAACAGAAGACACCACTTGTTGAAACCCTCTATGAAGTTTCTATTGTTAAATATTTGCAGAGATATGTGCTAGGCTAAGAGCTAAATACAGCTGCAGCACCTCAGTTCACATGCAATGTTTAAATCATGTGCCTGGGGCTCTGGACAGTTGAAACAAAACCACTCATGACAGACCAGGAAACCTCAAGGATAAAAAATGTTTAACAGGCACAAGTGAGGCTCCTTCCCCACTACACCTCCATCACTAATTTTTGCAAAATTCATGGCTTGCTTGCTCAAGCCCTGGACTCCACCACTGAAAAATTTAAGAACTTCAGTTTTCTTGTTTCAGACTTTAATTGTCAAGAAATCTTAAAAAAAGAGGTACTACACATAGTTAAAGGAATTCCAAGATGGCCTGTGCAGGGCTGATCAGCTCAGAACGGCTCAGAAACTTGGGTTACAAAGCTCAGAGTTTGGATCTTACTGCCACCATGTGGCAGTCCTACTGTCTTCCTCCTTCAGTCCTACAGAAACTGGCTTGCGATTATTTACACATTTCCAACAGAGGACTCCAGGAGCAAAACCTTTATGAGTTTTGTCGACCTCTACAGTAAGTTTACATGATCCTCAGTGCACCTGATCACCTACACAGTGCTTTGGTAACAACCAAATAAAAGCAGACATACAGTAGTAATGAGGTGGAGTTCCTCTTTAGTACTTTTGGTACTTAGAGACCGTAAGAGCAGAGTTCCTGTCCTATCTTTCTATAACATGTCTTTAATCATAATCATTACCTGCAAACCCCTACCTGCAAATATTTACATTGTATAGAGATTCACAGTGATAAAAAACAAAGCAACCAGAAGTTGGACTTTTGCTGTACTGAACTATCTTGATATCCTGGTATGACAAGGAACTTACCATCTCATAGGCAAGAGTTTCTTGTCTGCAAGCCCGATCCACAATAATTGTTTCTTCTCTCCTCTCTAACGCCTCTTTTCTAATTCTGAGGGGCAGGAACACAGGACAAAATTTCATTCAATAACTTCCATGCAGAATCTGTAGGTATACTTTTAAATATCACAAGCTACTACAGCACAGCTTCAAAGAGCAGGACTTTTGGCTGTCTTAGTATGACAGACTAACTTAAAATACTCTTGTCTCCTGATTCCCATAAAACCTGGTCATACACAGCTGGCGTGTAGATTTCAGCTTTGTTTTTCTTTTCTCTTAAGTGCAAATCACAGGTTGTTTGTGGGCAATTTTACCCTTAAGAGAAAAAAAACAACAGCAAAATGTTGTGTGAGGAAGCTTTTACAGAAAGTGTGCTTTGCTACCTTCGAGGAAACTGTTTCAACTACCCCTTGCCCTTCAAAGGAATTCGATTCACGATCAAGCAAAAAACAGGAAAAAAACACAAATATTCTCAACCCCATGACATAGATACTTTTCTAAAAACAATTCAGTATCATTTGTAGAAGGAAGAGTATCGCATATAGCATAGCTACTAAAATAAATGTATTTAACTCCTGCATGAACACCAAATCCTTTTGTACCTCTGGCACATGCCTATCTACTCTCTAGACCTTCCCAAAGGTTTTCAGTAACAACCAGGCTTAACACTGATGACAATCCTAACATGTTTCTTAATATTCTACACAAACTGAAATTCAAGTATAGCAAAGGCCTGAACTGGCTGAGTATGAATTTAAAGTTCACTAATTGATAGAAACTTAACATACGTTGTTCAACCTCTGAAATGCAGAGTAGGTTTAGATAAAGATGTTATCTGGCTATGACTTCAGTACTTACACTTCGGATGTTAAAATATGACTGTGGGTTACTAGCTGTAAGGGCTACAGATTTATTTCACAAGGCTTTGGAGAAACCTCCCACCAACAATTATGAGAAGTCCCCCGAGCACTCTGAATTTAGGCACTAGTTCAGAAGGACCGAGGTCCAGAAATCCTAAGTTCTTCCACTAAGAAAGATGGCATATTCTTTCTATCTTAATAAAAAATTCTTAAGTAACATCCAAGCAGAAGGCTCATACTAATTATCCTATCATAAGCTGGTGTTTCTGACCTTAGAGTATTTCTGGACACTGCTTCAGAAAGTAGACCATCGCTTGGAAAGGGAACAAGCAACCAGCCATGCTTTTGTGTGTGTTTTCTACCCCACCCCATATCAGGGTATTATGAGTGTACTATAACAACATACTGAAGAGTTAGTAGACTGCTATCTTCAGGAATAACATCTGGGTCCTCTTCTTTATCAGAAGACATTAACATATCAATGCTAGGACAATAAAAAACATAAAATCACTATTATACATTGTCATACTTTGTAACAAAAATCAGTTAAGCTATTTTTAAAAGGAACAAAGATAGGAAAATGTGAATAAACAACATAGCCTAAATCAGGGGGAAAAGGCAGTATGATTGGTAAGACAAAGAACCAGAAGACAAGAGTTCCCAAGTTTGTATCTGGCATTCACAGAGATTGGGTAAATTTTCTCTTTATTTTGCATTCTGCCTAACGGAGCATAGCTGCCTAGAGAGGTTTAACAAGCCCTGCTCAAAATGTGCCTCCAGTAATTTTTATAAACTAAAAATGCACTTAATTATTTCAAATCTCAACCCTCTTGTTTGATTGTCTGATGATACATGGCAAAACAGATGCAACCAGAAGGAACTGTCAACCTCAACATGTATGGTAAGGCTAAGTACCCCCACTCAGATACAAACACGGGCAAGCCACCACATTTACACAAGCTGTCATTACTATATTAAGGCATTAATTTAAGCCACATTTCTTCCAGTGGGAGTAAGACATTTCTGTCAGAAGTGACAGGTCCACTCTTCCTTGTATCCTGCTTTCCATCCTCAGACCCCTTCCACCCTCACTCTTCTTGTGTTTGCACAGAATCCAGAGTAGAGCTAACCATAGTTTTTTTGCTTTAGTGCAAATCCCTGCAGGTTGTGAGAAGGAAAAGTGGAACTGCTCTGGCAGCAGCAATGACTTAGAGAGATCATACAAACATTAGATTTTCATCACATGCACTGAAGTCTTGGAACATTTTGCAGTACAGCTTTTTACACAGGCCACGCTGGAGCTCCTCCTGGGTAACTCCACTACAGCAAATGGAACCACACCACTAATATTTGGTCCACCTTCCTGAGGAAACCAGACTTTATAAATGGAAAATATATGCTAATCCCTCCAGAAATTAAAGATAAGCAGTCAGCGCCATACACCTAACAGAGTAAAGTGCAGGCAATATATAGCATGCACCAGGCACACCTAACTTTAGCCATAAACATGGGATTCCACCGTGTCCCCTTTCCTGCACACAAGACAAATGTACTCAGTGCAGTCAGTTACAGCAGAAGGGAAAACACTGGCCATAGTGTTTAATGGACACTGAAGAGAACTGTAGGACAGTACCAAGGAACAACCATCGAAGGTCCTACCTGAAAAAAACATGCGAAGTGTTATACGAAATTTATGTCTCCTAGAAAGGTATTTTAATGCAGCTAGAAGTAAAAAGGCCAAAGGAAATCTGGACATGGAAATAGACTGTCAGTGCAGCCTTTAATCACCGTGACTTTACTTTTCTCAGCACAGAGAGTCTTCTCAGTTTTAGAAATTCAAAGATGCTTTAGTATTTTGTCTGATAATTTCACAGTAAGCAGATACAGTGTTTGTATTACTCTTCATATTGTATATGTTTTAAAGGCAGTACTTTCATCACCTTTGAGACACTAATACTACAAGACGCTAAATACTAATACGTTAAGACGCTAAGGCTAGCTTAATGCAGCTTTATAACACGTCCCTACAGATATTTACAACTACCCCTTCTAATAAAACAAGAAGGTGAATTAGGGCTGAAGTGGAATAAGGTACCTGTAAGCCTCACCTCTGCTGACCTACCTAAAATCCACACTGATTTGAGCCTTAGCCTGTCCTACATGGACACAACAAATCACTCAAAAGGCAAAACAGACTAATAAAACAGCATCTCCAACATTCAAGCACTTCAGTTGCTCAAACACCAATAATGAATTACAAGGTAAACCTCTTCTCACAGACCACTAAGGCATTTGAACAAAACTTAAACCTTTACCCTACCAACACGTTGGTTAGTTAAGAGAACTCCTGATGCTATTTCCTAGCTAAGGACACCACTTCTGCCCCTGTTTAAAATCTGATGAAAACACAAGCAATGTCTTAGCAATTGTCTGCATGCAATTTAAGCAGCATGCAAAGTATTTTTACTGAGTCAAATTTAAGTGAGTGAAGATGGATTTTTTTTTTCCCCTGCATTCTGTTCGCAGGAATGTATTGCAGGAATAAAATAGACAAAAAACAAAAATCAACCACAACACACCGAGATGCACGAACAGCATTTAGCCATTATGCCATTTTTCCTTACCAGAAGACTCTAAACTGTCAAGAATACTTAAACGCATACTATGTCACTACATTCTAAAAAAAAATTTTAAAAAATTAACTTCATTATAAGTCCATGAAAGATTCTCTTAACCTATTACTATTTTAAAAGTAGATATAGGAGGCGTATCCACATGTTCCCATCTCTCTTCCACCCAAAGGAAACCTCCTTCACTTGCCAGAAGTCCCCTTACAAGCAGTTTGCAGTCAGAAAAATCTGTGTTTATATCCAGGATGTGTTCACTTCAGTGCCTAGAAAACCATATTTATGCTGATAAAAAATGTGTCCCCAAGACACCACAGAACAGAACTTGGGAGTAGTCCAGTGTTCATCTCTTCGCAAGGGAGGAATACAAACAACTCGGAGTGGGCAAGTGAAAGTGATCAGAGCTAGCAATCTGAGGTTGGCCAATGTTAAGGAGAGGCTCAGGAGGTTAGGACTATTTAATTTAAAAGCAAAAAACACATGGAGATTAGGGATTGGGATTTCCAGCCTGCGGAGGGGATAGGTCACGCCAGGATGTGCAGGTTTATCTTCACTCTCCTGAAAAGCCAACAGGCAGCTGCCAGATGATCTGTTCTCTCCCATCATAGACTCCTCATCCTTTTTTTTCTTCCCCAAACCTTTTCACAGTACACTTAGCAGCAAACACACAGCACCAACAAACACAAACAGCACACAAAATATCGTAGTCATAGACTGAGGAAAGCAGAACAGAAGGCAGAATGAATGAAGAAAAAAATAAGCAAAGCATAGAAATCTGCTTGGAATTCCATTTTCACATTTTCCACAATTTGGGGAATAACTCTGAAAACATTAGATGGACACGCTCATGACACAACACCTGCATTTTATATATGCATCTTTCAACGCAGCGCAGTGAAGGAAAATCCTAGCTATATTTACCAAATTATGCCTTCTAAGTTGCTTCTGAGAATATGTCCATTCTAATCAGCGCCTGGAAGTGAACAACCTCTATCTCGCATTCACATAGCTTGTAAATACTTCTGCACCTTCCAGGAAACAGTGTGTGAAGGACAGAACTTGCACAAAGCTATACACATAGCAACAGAACTCTCACATGTCTTCCTTAGTGATAAGCTACAGACAAATCATTAACTGCTACTTTCTGTACAAATTACTGCCTGAAAACAGGCCTTTCCTATGGGAGAGAGCTGATTCTCACTATTCACATGACCCAAAAGCCTTTCAGCTGTAGTATATTTGATTTCTAGATGGTTCTCTTCTTCTTTCAACACTAGTTTGCAACTCACTGGTCCACAAATAAGGGCGAGTTACAAGTGCAAAATAAGAGAACGACTTTTCTTCCCCAGGCCTGGGCCACCCGGGCTGTTTGGGCAAACAGCGCCATCAGCACAGAGAAGCAGCTGCACAGCTTTGACTTCATCTCCAGCTCTGACAGAAAAGAGTCAGCAGAGGTTAAGAACCAAGGCAAGCTCAAAACTTAACGTATGTTGCCATTAGCAGGGCTTATCTAAATGACGTTAACAAAAAGAGGTGCCTGGCTCTTCTTCCTCACGGAAGGTATGTCTTTCATTTTGCAACCGGGGCTTCCGAAAGCCATGTACGCATGCCTGTAACTTCAAGTTCTACCTAACAGGTAATACGTTTCTAAGTATTCACTTAGAAACTTAACCTGTTAAGTGCTGAACTGTTCACGCCGTAACACAAAGTTTCCGCTAGTGAAGCATTACTCCCTGCAAACACGGTGTTTTCCCGTTCCACCGCGCATGTACCCGGGAGATAAAAACCTCCACATGGCCCACACCCGGAAACAGCCGTTCTCGGCAGGTTTGCCCGAGCACCTCGCACCTCTCGCCTCCCTTGAGGAACCCGTGCAAAGCCTGACCCACAGCACCTGCAACCCCGGCCCGCGGCGGCCTCCCCTGCACCACGCCGCGCGAGG